ATGCCAATAACTTGCTGTGCCTTACTTCCTACATCTCTAACAGTATGTCGGATCGTGCTCAGACGGATGTCACTTATACTGACTTATCTGCGAACATCTCCGTCGCATGTGCATACCTGCCATGCGGACGGCTGCCAAACCTGCACGATCAACCCAGCGAAGCCATAGCTAAACTACCGGAACCGCGCATGCTGGTTGGGGATCTGAACGGGAACCACCCAAGCTGGAGCTGCCCCCGCTCCGACCCTCGAGGTGTTACCCTGGTCAATATTTTCGAGAAGGAAGACATGGTGCGTCTGAATGACGGTGTGCCCACGTCTCTGCTGTCAGCCGCTGCTTTGCCGGAAAAACTCAGTGGAGCGCGAACACGAATCTCTATGGTAGCGACCACTACCCCATCAAAGTTCAACTTTCGACCGCCATCTTCCCGATGGCAGCAAGGAAGTCCCGATGGCGCTATGAACAAGCGGACTGGGATAGCTATGGTGAAGCCTTCCAGTCCTTGTTACTACAGCGTAATCCGAACAGAATTGAATACTTTTCAAAAGTGGTATACGAAGCGGCAACAGCAACCATCCCAAAGACCAGCAGCGTTCCGGGGCGAAAAGCGCTACGCTGGTGGAATGAAGATACGAGGAAAGCCGTTAAAGCGCCTTCCTATCGGACATTCTGACCGCGAGGACGCTCTCTGTCACTATCATGAGTCGCACAATCAATGCCGGCAAGAAATCCGTGTCGCCAAACGAACCAGCTGGATGCACTTTCTGGAAGGTATGAATTCGTCACAGTTTTCGGCCGACTTATGGAGTCAACACCCTCAGTGGGAAACGGCGCCTGACTCCGCTCCACGTACAGATTAACGGTGAAGCGGTTTCTGACCCTGCAATTGTAGCGGACGAACTCGGCTCGTACTTTGCCGATCTCGCAGCCATCGAGAAGTACGAAGACGAATTCAAGCGGAAAGCTAAGCCTTCGACGTCATCCATTGCAAGTTTCTCTGTTTCCTGACGCTGGGAACTCGGACATCAACCAAGCATTCTCCTGGTAGGAATTGCAGCATGCCCTCCGCTGCAGCAACGGAAAGTCGGCGGGTCCCGACGAAATCGGGTACACTCTATTCAAGAGGTTACCAACGCCAGGCCAGATGCTGGCGCTTTTCAACAAGCTCTGGCTCACCAACTCGTATCCAGCGTCGTGGAAGGAGAGCTTAGTCATTCCCATCCCAAAAGCCAATGAAACAACCCGTGAAGTTAGCAAGTTCCGGCCAATAGCCTTGACATGCTGTGTGTCCAAGGTCCTGGAGCGAATGGTCAACAGGAAGCTAAAGCATTTCCTTGAAGCCAAAAACCTGCTAGACCATCGACAGCACGCCTTCCGTCAAGGGTACGGAACGTCAACTTATTTCGCAGGGGAGGTCCTCAAAAGTGCCAACGATAGCGGTCTCCACACCGAGATCGTCTCGCTGGATATATCAAAGGCCTTCAACAGGACGTGGACACCCCTCGTCTTAGAGCAGCTTGTCAACTGGGGGCTTTGTGGACTCATGGTCCACTTCATCAAAATTTTCCTGATCGATCGATCTCAGCACGAGATCCCAGCTTTTCAGAGAAGAGACGGGCGTCCCACAAGGTTCAGTTATCGCCGTTACCCTCTTCCTTGTGGCCATGAACGAAGTTTTCGGAGGACTGCCTAAAAATGTTTACATTTTCGTGTATGCTGACGATGTACTTATCGTAACTACCGGCCCAAAAGCAGCATGTAACAGGATCAAGGCCCAGGCAACAGTCTCCGCTTTAAGGCGATCAAGAACGACTGCCGCAGTAGGATCAACTTGATCCGCACCATCTCTCGCCCCCACCGGTCTAACAATCGCGACACTCGTCTTCGGATTGCAAGAGCCGTCATCGATAGTCGCCTACTGTACGGTCTTGAAATGACGTGCATCGCCACCGAAAAGCTCGTGCAGATACTAGCACCAACTTTCAACACCTACGTTCGGATTGTCTCCGGTCTTCTTCCGTCAACGCCCGCCGATGCCGCATGCATCGAAGCGGGTATTCTGCCCTTCCGCCATCGTATAACCGCAGCAATTGCAACGAAAGCCGCTGCCTTTACCGCAATGACCTCCGGAAATGACAGGTACTTTCTCCTCGATGAGAGGAGCAGACTCCTCCGCATGACTGCCAATTCGGAGCTCCCCCCAGTGGCCAAGGTCCACTGGTACGGAGACAAAAGTTGGCGCATACCTCCACCCAAAATCGAGAGTCGGATAAAGAGCAGGTTCAAGGCTGTAGATAACTATGCAGCGCTGACGAGAACAGTAGCCGAACTGCTAGGCTCGGACTACCCAACCCATGTCCACATATACACGGACGGATCGCTTTCCCGAGCCGGGGTCGGAATTGGAGTAGCCGGAATTTCAGCACCGATGAGTAGCAGCCTACCGCCACAATACTCGGTTTTCTCCGCCGAAGCTGTGGCCATCTTTGTTGCCGTTACAACACCCTCGGACCGGCCCATACTGGTGCTATCCGCTTCGTACAGCGTGATACATACAAGCCCTTACATCGGAGACCCTGACTCACCCCTGGATACAAGGTATTGTGGAGGCCACTCCTCCGAACACGGTGTTTTCCTGGATCCATGGGCACTGCGGTATCCCAGGAAACAGCGAAGCCGGCAGCCTGGCAGGGTCTGGCCCCCGTTACACCGACGAAGTGCCACTACAGGACATAAAGCGATGGATAGTAAGCAAAATGTGGGAAGCCTGGGAAGCAGAGTGGTGCCAATCCCAATCCATCTTCATCCGAAGAATCAAAGGAACGACGAGCAAGTGGACGGATATGTCGAAACTACGGTGGAACACATTCTATGCCTGTGCCCGCAATACCAACAACTACGGGAGCAGTACGCACTTCCCAACAGCATTAGGGACATACTGGGCGACGAACCTTCCCATTTTAGCGACAGTTAATCATTTCCTCAAGGACGCTGGGCTATATAACAACATTTAGGTCCTTTTAACTTTCTTTTCGCTGACGGGACATCTCTGCCGGACGGAGGAGCTCCGATCTCTTTCAAAACCCCACATAACTTTTTACTGGAATCTGTTTTAATTGCTTCTATTTGAGTACATGTGAATTGTAAGCCAACTCCGTAACAAAATTTGCAGGCAGTACCCCCTTCTGGGGCCTCCTATTTTATAGAGATGAACCAGCCAACGGCTAAAAATCTCTCTAATAAAGTAAAAAAAAAAAGCTTATCTGCTGCCTTCGATAAATTGAATCACCGCATATCAATCGCAAAACTGGACAGGCTTGGTATCCACGGCTGCCTTTTGCAATGGTACCTCACCGATCGCTGTCTTAGTGTTATCGCTGCCACGTCCGGCATACCCCACCTGGGACCGCTGATTTTCCTGATTTACTTCAACGACGTGAATCTGGTATTTGAGGGACACGATTATCTTACGCAGATGACCTTAAACTCTTCCTTCGAATTCACTCAATTGAAAACTGTTGCTTGCTTCAACATCAGCTGAATGCTTGCTGATTGGTGTATTCTGAATCATCTGGAGGTTAACCCGTCCAAATGCTCGGTTATCTCTGTATCGCGCAAGAAAGTTTAAGTATGCTTTGTTAGGCACTGAAACTGAGTGCGTCAGCCACATTAAGGACCTAGGTGTGATTCTGCATACACAGCTCTCTTTCAAGCAACACATCTCGTATGCCGTCGACAAAGCTTCCAGAATTGTAGGGTTTATCTTCAGGATTGCCAAAGACTTCACGGATATCTACTGCCTTAAATCGTTGGACCGCTCCTTGTCTCGCTCCATATTAGAATACTGCTCGGTTGTTTGGACTACAACAACGGTGTCGAAAGAGTTGAGTCTGTTCAGCGACGGTTCCTGAGATATGCGCTACGTAAACTGCCGTGGACGGATCCCTTCCGATTGTCTAGCTACGAAAGTCGTTTGCGGATATTTTGCAAGGACGCACCGACTGCCCTGTTCTCCTTGAGCAAGTTGACATCAATGTTCAACCCCGAGCCCTAAGGAATAATTCAATGCTGCGCCTGCCCATACAGCGAACTAATTATAGCATGGTCGGCGCAATTGGTGGTTTACAGAGATAGGGTCAGCGCACTGTTTGACTTTGACCTGACTCGCTAGCTGCTTCGCCGGAAATTTAGTTCGTTTTTTCTAGATCATCTTAGTTTGTCTAGTCACTTATGTGTCAAACTTTCATAGCGAATCAAAACAAACATAGTGTAGTACTAGAATTTAAACTAGAATGGGGTACGCTTATAGATGTACTTGGGACCAATAGGCTAGTCAAGTAGTGAGCCAATTTAAAATCGTTAGTTTCCACCTGTTGCTATTACGTAGCTGCTCCATTTTCAATGCTTCACTTCTAAAAATAGATTTTTGACTCACTGCCGGTTCACAACTTCAAAGTGCGCCATTTTGAACTTAGGAAAAAAATATATCAGAACCATTTACCCAGAATCTTCGTAGATTCCACCCATCGGAGTAAAACCAGTTTACTCATTTTTTGACAACTCCATTCAGCATTTAAAAATATTTACGATCCACCCAGTCACTGAGTAGCCTCAAAATAGCGTGTATATTGGTGCCAACAAGCGCGAGTCATTGACAGCTCGAAATCTTTTTTTTTTTTGTGAATGAAGTTAAACGTAAATAAATGTAAATATCTGCACCCTCGACGCTGTGCCAACGCATGAATCGAAAACTTGTCTTTCGTACCTACTTTTTAATGATGCGATCATCTTGATTTGTCATTACGGTGGCACTTAGTTCGATTTAGCAGGTATTATAAATCGATATCAGCCGATTAGCAGACCGATAGGAAATCTTCAGAATCGTCATCAATCTTTTTTCTATCTACTAAGCGTGCGCGCAGCTAGCCACACAACAAAACACAATTTTGCCTGCAGCGTAGATAGAGTCGTCCCCCTCGGACCGATAGGGAATTACTTACATTTTTTCCGCTAACAAATAAACAAACAAGCGAACAAGCGAACTCTGTCCACAGATGCACCAACGCTTCAAAGTATTAGATTGTAGAACTAGCAAATCGTCGCAAAAAATTAAATCACTCTCAGTCACGTCCGCTTGCAGCAGCAAACTACAGCTGGCCGGCGATAATAAATTTGAACCAACCGTATGAGGCAGAGAGCTAGTATTACGTGAGAGAAAGAGAGAGAAATGCATTCATTGAGAGAAATCGCTTTGCGATGATTAATAAACTCGGAGCCTTAAGCTGGGTTTAGACAGGGCAAGTCAATTGATCAAGTCAGTTGAATTCAACTGACTTGAACGCGAATTGAACGTGTAAACCATGCCATTCAACTGACTTGATCAACTCACTTGAATTGAAAAAAGTTGAACCAGGCTCAACTTTTCAAGTCAATTGAATTCAATTGAGTTGATCATTTGACTTGCCTAGTCTAAACCCAGCATTATTAGAATGTTCCAAAACCTTAAAATCTCGATAGCTTTTTCAAAGGGACGTATCAGCTTTTGTAAACAATGCATTTGATCGTCGATTTGGCGTAACTGGTAGCTCGATCACGCATGCTAACACTACCAAATTTTCCCCTACCTGCTAGTGGTATTAGGGTATGTATAACGTATAGAACGAGAGTAATATCGATTTTCGCTAGTGGGTTTTTGCCAATTTTCAGCTGTAACGACAATATATGCCGTTTGCTTCACGGTACATTCGCAATCGCGATCGAAGTGCTCACTTAAACTGATAATACGCTTCACTCCAGTCAATGCATCAACGCTCGCTCTCCTCCTACAAACAGCCACGAACGTGCTCTCGACTGCATCATATAGCTTGCTATGGTGTGCGAAAAATTAGCGAAACTCACAAATTCTCCTCTCTGCCGTGCACTTATTGTGCTCCTTTTTTTTTTTAAATCACAAAATGCAATTCTAACACGATATAAACTACCGGTTTCGATATGGATGTGCGGGTATCATGCGGATGTATTACCGCCGCAAGCTTATGTGGATTTTAGACAAGCGTCGCCGAATAAAATGCTCTGCGCGCTATTTGGAGTCCACATCGTGCAACGGCGGTAACGCGCAATTATCTTGCAAGGTATAATGCAGTACGTTCTCGTTTTTGTCAGCCCCATCTGAAATTTTAGGCTGACAAAAACGGGAAGCTGACAAATCCGGATTTTTTTTTTCAATATTTTAACCTACAAAATGATTTCGAAATCAAGATTAACTATTATTTATCCACTATTAATGGACTTACTGATAAACGTCTCAAAAAGGCAAAACTGTTTGCGTACTGAGCTGGTACGTACTGCGCAGTTTCCTTAAACTCTTCTTGGTTTCGAGCGCCGCAACCCAGGCTGGACCTCCATTTCTCAGTATCGACGTAGATACACTAGCCAGGAGCCGTCTCTGGCTGCTGTTTGGGATGGCCTTCACCGCCTTCTCGAAATAGTATTCGACGTGGCTATTGAAGTGAGGCGGTCGTCGATCATCAATCACTCTTAGGTATTTCAACACGCGCTTCGAGGCTATGGTCGCAACGCGACGCGACGCGACTCACACAAGAAATAATAATACTATAAATAATAAGATTCTTTTGAATTGGTCGCGTCACGTCGCGTGCCGTGTTTACTCTGACCGCGGCCTATGGCGTTATCCCCAACGGTGATATCTGTCCGCTGCACTGCTATAAAGTTACTGACCAATAGCGTTTTGTTGTGGGCTATCTGCAGCTTTGCTCCTTGCATCAAGTTTCCAATCATGTCGCCAACATTTCCATCTCTTCCAGTGTCTTGCCTGTTACTGGAGCCGCAGAGCGTAGGACCGAGGATGGAGCCTTGTGGAACTCCCACCATGATGCTAATCGATGTCTATCCCTTGTCTGCCTCGTAGACAGGGACTCGGTTCTGGAAGTAACTCCTTAGAATCCTGCACAGGTAGTCAAGTACCCTCGTTCTATGCAGCGCTTCGGCGGTGGCCTCCCAGCTAGCGCTGTTGAACGCATTCTTGACGTCGATCGTTATCATAGTTATGAATATAGATCTCCTCCCCGCTTCTGTGAGGACGCCTTCTCGGCTCTCTCGACCACTGTCCGAATTGCATTCACCATTGCTCTCCCTTTTCGGAATCCGAACTGCCTCTCCGATAATCCGTGCATTTCTTGAGTCTGTTTAGGATGATCCTCTCCAAGAGTTTTCCAAATGTATCCAGTAGGCATTAGGGTGGGACAAAATTCAAATTCCAGTTCAGTATGATTTCCGGGGGCCTTGTTGGGTCCTAGAATAACTGTGTAAAATTTCAATCCGGTCGGTGGAACTATATTTTAGCGCCAGCGGTTTTAATTTTACATAAGATTTTCTATGAGAAAACTTACTTTTTCAAATAAAAATCTGGTGAGGTCACCCATTGTACTCTAAAAATATATCAACCCACATACTAACTAGGAAATTTTACAAGGAAACTTTTCTTCGAACACTGCAAAACGATCCGACGCTTGTGGAAAAAGTTATTTAGCCATTACTGATTGCTAACCAAACGAACTGCTCATTATTCTTTTTTTCTAGCAGCACTGCCAGCTGCCGCCTGCTGCTGTCTGCGCGAGGCAGTCACGTTGTGTGGGGGTTCACTCAGTATGGAGGAAAGCCGATATCATGCGCAAAGAATCTTCGATTTTGATGAAACTTTACACAGGTTTCCGGTATAGTACAACAATTATGTTTCACGGGTGTCATTTGGAAACAAGCGTGATTTTTCACAAGGGTGTATTTGCTTTGGCGCACAATTTATTCAAATTTTAGCAGTCGATGTGCTGCTGCTCAGACTTCAATATTTCATCGGCTTCATTTTTCGGGGGTACTCCACAACTTGCAGTAGGTATTCATGTTGTTCGGGATTCTTGGTTACCGATTTATTGAGGTCGTTTCCTTTACGGCCCTTTCCGCGACATCATTCACAACCCCAAGAGCTTGAACGCGCTGCTGCGCTGTTAAGTAGAAAAGAACCGCCGTCACTTTCAAAAATTTTAAAGTACATTTTTTGTTCGAAATCGAAACAATGTACATGAAAATATATCACTCTCTTTCCGTTGGTAACAGTGAGCTTGAGCTTGAGCTTGAGCTTGATTGACCGCCCACGGTTGCTACTCTGTTACACAATCATCCTCAATGTGTAAAAACTGGTGATCTCGAATTAGGCAATACCAGCACCGGCCGTGCCCGAACACAGGTCAAGAAAGGAAGGGGTAGGAATGTGTTGACGTAACACACGCTTTGATGGAAGCCGAGAACACCTCTGCACTTCCACGAGGAATCACTGGGATGTTGGATAAGAGGGTTGGGTTTGCAGCAGGGTTCGTTTTGGTAAACGATAAGCTGAATTGATGTCCTAACGATCATATAACGCGAAGGAGCTTGGGACTAAACCCAACAATCAATACGAAACTAACGATTTTAAATTGGCTCACCACTTTAGTAGTCTATTGGTCCCAAGCAAACGATTAACGTACCCTATTCTAGTTGAAATTCTATTACTACACTATGTTTGTTTTGATTTGCTATGAATGTTTGACAGATAACATCAGGGGTGTGTGGATTCATGCAGAACATGCAGGGGTGAGTGAAATAGCTTGGGACTGCTTGGGACCGTTGTTCTGGTACTGAGTGAGCCAAAAATAATAATGATTTTCTTCGGGACCCAGTGGTCTTAGAGTTACCTCTATGCTAAACCCACGGTCTTCTGCTCAGTAAGCAAAAACGTTTGCCACTAGGCAGACGAGCACCTTTTTAATCACCGAATTGCTGTTATTACCATGTAGTCGTATTAACAAATAAAACGATTGACGAATCTTGAATGTGGATGGGCCTGAGATTAGACTCATGATGTTCTGCTCAGTAAGCAAAAACGGTTGCTCTAAGGCCACCTAGCCCCTCATATCACATAATACCATTGCTCAAATTTTTGTATCCATTGAAACCCGGAACCAACGACAACAACGAGTTTCGCAAAATACACTATACACAAGCGATTTTACCATAAATCTCTTTGATATGTAAGGACCTGGGACCGCGTTTTTCTGCTCAGTAAGCAGGCCACTGTAACCGACGATCTTTCAAATCCGAAAACTAAAAACTACGAAAAAGTACTTAGGCCTTCATTAAGTTCCACTTTCACACGACGTTCAATGTTTCAATTTGCTCTTTACGTATTGTTCAGGCTATAAATAGGCTCTTTTCAAAAGTTACGCGAGAAATACGCACAATCGTCGCCTACCTTGCAAAACTGGTTTCAAACGACAACAAAGGCATAAGCAACGATGGATTGTTGAACTTTGCTGGCTGGTGTAGTGCTGCTGAAAAAAGATAAGTCTATTATTTTGGTTAGTGATCGTTTGGATTTGGGTCACCCCACGTTGTGTTTACTGCCGTTCTACGCATAACTGTCCCATGTTCTATGCAATCCTTATGCACCGTGGGACTCTTATGCGTATAACGGCAGTTTAGGTTAGTATAAATAAATAATACTATTTAGTCACATAAATCACCACAGCTCATTATCTTCAGCGTTATCGGTTTTCGTTTCTGGATCTTTAGTTGCCTCTGTGATATACTTACTTGCGGCATACTATTTTGGGAGTGTATATGAGCGTGTACCATGTACGGTGGCTCATCTCTCATCGTGATGGTGGGACATAGTAAACAAATTAGAGAGAAAACAAGGAGGTATTAGTATTAGTTATATGTAAACAAACAAAACAAAAGAAGAGAAGAGGAAAGAAGAGCAGACAAATAAAAAAGGGATGAAGTAGATAACAAGTAAAAGAAACGTAGGCAGATTATTAGAAAAGGCATTATCCGAGACTCGGCAATCAAATGTCACTCCCGCCGAGATCTCAGCGAAACCCCCTTCCCGCCGAGACCCGCACAGCCGAGCTCTGTAGAAAAAACTAAGTGTGTAGATAGATTAGTAGGAAAATAAATAAAACTGCTTTATGACTCAAAGAGCAATGAATGAGCGTTAGTTTCGGGATCATTTCAGTGTTAGAGTTATGTTAGTTTTGATCCGTAATCAGCCCTGCCGGTCCCTCCAACATTAGTTGCAG